GATGCAGGTTGAAAATTCCCCAATTATGAGAGGCATTTAACAGATGACATGAAATACCTTACTTGATTCTAAAACACTGGTAAAGAAGGGGTCCTACGAACTTGAGACAGGCAATTTCATAGGAAGATTATCATTACGGCTTATCTAAATCATGCAGGAGGGGGTGGGGTAAAAAAAAAAACTATGTTCCTAATTATTCAGTTGATTAAAAAATTAAAAAAAAAAAACAGTATTTTAGAAATATGGTATAACAAAACCAAAAATCTGACTGAATTGATGACATCAACTACGTGCAAACTGTTTTTTAATTTGATTTTTTTTTTCAGGTCATTAGGGAAAAAACTGTAATAGCCCTTAACATTTAAGTAAATAAAATAAGCCTGTTCCCTTATTTTAGGCAAGTCTGTATCAACGCATCTTTACTCAGCAAGTGCCTTTGAAAAATGCTTTATTTGGTTCCCAGTCACAGAAGACTGGATTTTAATAGTGTCACACTTGTTAAAAACACCAACAGCAGAGAAGTCGTCATTTGAGTGATGGTGCCTCCTCAGATATCTGTGGGCACATGACAATTCAGACCACAAACTGACCATAATGCTCAGGAATATTATGTTCAAAGTCTATATTGTCATAAGTCGCAAGTTTATGTTATTGCTAACTTAAGTTGTAAAAAGATTGCTGATCATAGCCATAAAAATTGAAAGGAACTAACGAATGCTCTCCAAAACCATATTTACAGTTAAAAGGATATTAAAAGGTTACAGTTTCAGTACCTTTCTGAGCCTAAGATGACCCCACTTTTCTTTATCACTACCTTGATACCGTCCAGGGGTAGACCCAAGCAGATATACTCTACAGAATGGAAAACACATCAAGTTATTTGCAGCTCTGGAGTGGTTTTGGTTTGTAAAGTAATAAGGTATTTAAGTAAAACCTATCGGTAAGGTTGAATGCAGAAGTGCAACCAGAAATATTTAATCTTTCACACTTAAGACTTAAAATATAAAGCAAAGTGGATTTTCAGTTGTGTAATTTATTAACAGCATCCCATATGGCTGTCACACACCACCAGGCTGGTCTACAGCATAGATAGGAACTGCCTCTATTTCTGTGTACAAAAATGCAGAAGACAGATGTTAACAATAAATGCAAATAGCTCATTTGGAACGGAATCAGGCATGTAGTTGGAATAAAGCTAGTCTATTGCTACATCCAAATCAGCAGATTCAGATGTGAGATTTCATTTAGACACCTAACAGCTTAAATGCTAAGTACAGCTTTTTCAACTGTCTTCCCAATACTGGTTTAGTAACCTGTTTGACCCACCCAGGGTCACAACAGACAGATGGTTTAAGTAGCTATTCTTTACTGCATCTCATGCCTAGCTTTACCCATGAACTAATGTCCCCTATATATTTTACACGTCAAGGAACTGATCCTTATGCTCACAAGTGACTCTTCCCTAACCCATGAATAAATTCATATCAGCTAGGGCTCAGCCAGCCTCTCCAAGCTCATGCAGATGACCAAGTGAATAACAGCAGCAGCTCAGGCTGTTTATTTCACCTGATTATAAGGTACATATTTCCTGCCTCCTCCCACTCCCTGCAATTTTCTAAGACCCCATGTAAAGAAAAAAGCATATTTTTTATTTTATACATTAAACTTGACAATGTTTCAGTCTCTATTTTCACCACAGTTTATTATCTTTTTCAGTTTTTCTTATCAACAAATTTTTGCCAGCTTATAAAACTCCTATTAAGCAGCCAAGGAGATTTACACTTTCTCAAGTAAATACGATATTTCAGTGAAAACGTGGGATGTATCTATTAGAATTAAGCATCCTGAAATATCTTCAGTAACAGCAGCAATGTGATACTAGTGAAGGCTGTTTCAACACAAAGTATATTATTGCTTAACATAACACTACCAACCAGACATGATCCATGCCTGTAATGAGCAAAATTCTATACATACGTATACGGATTGAACTTTGCCTTAGAAGTACAGAAGTCTCTTCTTAATAAAATCCCCATTACTATAACCTTTACTTATATGATCCCTTTTACAGGACCAAATACAACTTATTTTTTTCCACTGGTAATTTTATTGGAACAAGTATTTAAGCCAGATTGGCTTAAATGAAACTGAGTCTGTATTACATACAGCTACCTTGTCAAGTTACTGCTGATGCACCTTTTCTTCATTCCTTTAAAATGTATGCCTATAAAACTAGAAGTTGGTCAATTAAACATAATCTGCATAAGATAGATTTAAAAAACTGCCTAAAGTAAGACTCTTGTTTTAACACAAGTCTGAAACAAGGTAAGCTTACAAAACAAACCCATGGTCTAATAGATCTTAACAGAGATGTTAATTTTTTGGAAAAAAAGCATGCAAGTTCCTATAAACACAAGATAACACATACCTTGTCTCTGATAAATCATGTTCTTGAATCAGATCAATCCACTCCTTGAGTGTAGGAGAATTGTAAGCCATCAAGTAACTTATTAGGTCAGACTTAAAATTAGTTTCAGATTCACCAGCAGAAGCAGATCTTCCCTGAGGTAGCCTTGGATATAACGGGCTTAGCCATATTCTAAAAACAAAGCCACAAAACAAGGACACCATATATTAACGTATGGTTTTAGTAAGTGATTAAAGCACATCTAAAGGTCCTAAACAAATACTAGATAGATTTATTGTGACACTAACTAGAAAGCAACTTGCCTTTACTTTACAATTACAGAATCATCAACTCAACACCATAAAACTAACACATTCAAATGAAAAAAAACACCTCAATGCATTTATCTATGCATAAATTTACAGCTTTCACTGTTAAACAGGCCAGGCTCATACTTAACCAACCAGCAGCCCTTTCATCAGTGTTTTCTGTATGAATAGAATACTGCAACACATTCTGCTAAGCTAATGGTTTGTGTAATGATATAGAAAAAACACCAATTACAGTGCCTGGATGTTCTGCATAGTTAGAAGAGTAGCCCACAATGATAACTTCCCTATCCAGAACTTCCATCAAAAGAAAATAGGGTGGGCACTACACAGGGTAAAAACTAGCATTTCTTTCCAGTCACATGTTATTGTAGCCATGGAAACCAAAGGTTCTGCGTTATCAACTTTACAACGTGCCGATACTATCCTTTGTAATTCAGAAGCCTATAAAACAGACACGCCAGTGAACCACCATATTGGCGACACTGCATATTATTGCAGTGTGCAAGACCTAAAAAGAAAAACGTTTTTCATGTTTGACAAGTAGGGCAACTTGTTAAGCATCCCAAATAGATATTTTCATGCCTTCTTGGCTTTCTGAAAAGCTAAGCATCAAAAGATACTAAAGCCATCCCTAAGTAAAAGATTTGAAGGCAAAAAATCAGTGGTTATATTTTTGCCACTCAGAAACCCTTACGAGAGCTTGCCTCAGATAAGAGAAGCGCCTCAAAACGTTGCCATATTTCATGGCAGCAAAATGGATGTCAAGGTGACAGCAACTTCTGAAGAGTCATTTTCAACTAGTCTGATGAAGAAATCTTACATCCTGAATTACTGTGGAGATGTAAGTAAAAATGCTCCCAAAAAATAGCCAAGAAAACAAGAGGTTGAGGGGCCTTATATTAACATGTCACTTTGTCCTATTTTCTGTGCTCTAAACAAACTATGTCTCAAGCTGGTCATGAAATTTTCAAACTTCTCCTAAAAAAATCCAAAAAGAAAATTCCTTTCAAGAAAGGATACTGGGTCATGTACTACATTAAGGAATCAATGATGCACAGCATTTACCAGGTGACATATTCTAGATATAGTCACAGCAGAAGCAGAGCATCTGCACATTCACATTATTATTGCAGTATTAAGATATTTTTAAATGGCTGCTTCAGATTTATAGAGAGTACTTTATAGCCAGGTAGTTTTTTCATAAAGTGACAGCATGGCATAATAAATGATCTTAAATCAATCAGACTGAGTTTAAGGTAACAGCCAGCTCAGAACATAACTGTTAACAGCAGAAAACAAGTAAAGTCTCAGATGGTACCTGTCTGAGTCTTAGACAGATACCATCATTCTAGGTTTTATATTTTTTTCAGGCTCTATCTTAGGAGCGTAAGACTTGCAGCACTGGATCATCTGACCTAGCATCCTGTCTCCAGCAGAAGCAGATATCTACAGAAAGTATTAAAGTAAACATACACCTACTAGAGATTGTTGCTTACCCCTGAGTTTTCTGGTGCCAATCTTCAGCAATAAGATTGGAAGTATGTATCACAACTCGAAGACCTTCTTCATATAACAACAACATCATTTTCCTTTAAAAAAAAGGATATATGACACTTCATCTGTTTCCAGTACACTGAGAGTAGGAGATAAATCAACAATTCATTAAAATGCTCCAGGATAATTATTTTCAAAAGATTTTTTCCACATAGCACAAACAGACTTTAATCCATGTGCATGCCAAACTTGCATGGCAGTCATTAGACTAACCCCATGTATTTTGTCAGCAGCACCATACAATGTATTCCATAGTACAGCCTAACATCTCATGCAACTGATTTCCCAAAGCAAAAGAATACTTTCTGTATTTGCAGTCCTTCAGCAAACTTATTCCTTTGCAGATAGTTAAAAAAAGAATTCAGGAACACTAAAAAGCCTTTGCTTATAGCTGAATTTCTTAAAACCTACTTCTCTTAAAGTGACAACTTTTTATTTTAAAAGGTGTAGAGGTAACTAACCATTGGGATGGCAAAAAAAGCTATTTATCCATCATAAATCTAAACTCAAGCTACAGCATAAAAGTTTTAAAACTAATAACTGATTTAAAAATAAATGTGTCTCTTGTAACATAAGCACTCAATTTTTTATACAAGTTTTCAATAGCTGTGTAAAGATGTAACCCTGAAGGATGAGTTGGTTTCCATAGAAACCAATGTTCAAGAACGAAATCTGTAAGGAAAAACGTTTATTTTCCTTGCTATCCCATGGCAAGATAATGCTATGTAAATTATATCAGACTAATTTAGACAAAGATTATTTCACAATTTCTGCTTTTAATGTTAGAGTTCAGCAAACTAACATTCAAGTACCTGCATGTTTTCCTGTGCTTACTGCAGTTTATGCAACATGTAAGACCCTCTAACTATAAAATAGTTTCCTACATCTGTGTTATGCCTTGATCTAAGCACAAATTGAGTTGAGTGTAAAATAAGTATTTTACACCAAAATAAAGTGCAAGCTTAAGGTATATAGAAGTGATAACTGACTAAAACACCACTACCTCAAAAAAAAAATCACTGACACGTAATTTAAGTTTTACATCATACAACATGTGAATGACAAATTTAAGTCTTGAGGTGAAATATGTTAAGTTTCTCTTGATGGGTAATAAAATAATTTGGTTCCTAAGATCAGATTTACTGGTCTGCTACCCACTTGTTGTGTTTCATCTGCAGTGGAACATGCATTCAGAGATACACTGCCCAGAACAACCCTTTAAAATATAGGGTTTAAGAATTGTAGCATGCAACATCACTATCACTTATTTATCCCAAAGTGTGGTGGAAGAAAAAAAACTTGAAGTTGAGCATACAGAGAGTAAGAGCTGCTGCTTGAACTGCTTAAGTGAAAAAGCTAAAGCTTTAAAAACAATCAATTTGAAAAACAACCTCGATTCCTTCTATTTCCCTCGCTAAACCTGAGAGAAGCAAGACTCATTTCTACAATGCTGATTTCTTTCCTTTATTTGCATATTCTTCTCCAAACAAGCAATGAGGTGATCCGTATGCTTTCTACCAGAAACACAGGTGTACCTTAAGTGGGCATTTCCAATCAATGTTTTAACATAATGTCATCTTTTATAAAATGAGCTACACAAAACGATTGATTAAAAAAACACTGCAGCGCTCTGAAACCAGAGATCTTCGCTACAAGACAAAACTAAATCTGTTCTTATCTGTAGCTTGCAATCTACAAAATTCCCTTTGTGACACTTCTATAGTATCACATTAAAGTTTTTTCTTTGAAGAGACCCCAAAATTCAGTAATTATTTCCAGATCATCCATGTTAACTGCAAAAACTGAACAGTAAACCAGTGTTTGTCTGATCTGCCAAGGACTGACCAAGTCTGCAGTACAGCTTTGGAATTAAGGCAAGAGTTAAGAGCCAGGACCTGCAGTTCACTGACTTCAATTGTCTAACTTGCACATCTCACTCATATCTACCTGATAGTTGATTTGTTTCCTTAAACTAGAACAATCCTATCATCTGTAAATACATCATAATTAAGGACATTTTTCTTTAAGACTCAACAATTTCTATGAAACCCAATTTTATGGCTTTAAAATAACTGGCAGATAAGTGAAACAGATATACATAGAACACAAGATACCACTTTTAAACTTCTTCAATATAGATTAGGCCTTCAGAATTCTGTCTTCACAAACAGTAATAATCTCTCTTCCTATCCCATAAACACTTTAAGACACTAGACACTAGTTACTAGTCCAATTACGGTAACTGCTTGTACCAACTCTGTGGTCATCTTTAGAAGTGGAGCTTTCTGCTTCATAGCTGTTACTTACGTATGGTGAGTTCCAAATGCAATATCCAGTTTAGCCTGAAAAAAAAAAAAGAGAAGCTGATCATTAAAAATTCCTATTGTGCATTCCTATAGGCAATAATATTAAAGCAGGTGAGGTGCTTCTTCATTTTGTTTCATTTCACTGCTCCCTAGTGGACAGATTACAAAATACATTATTTTTCCCCACAACACCTTTAAATGTACTCGCTAATTTCTAGAAGTTAGACTTTAAATGGCAAGGCAACTCTTTGATGGAACTGGTCCAGCAGAATTTCTGGTCTCCTACCAGGAATATTTTCAGAAACAGTCAGCCGTGCAGAAAAGGACCTGAGGGTCCTGTTGGACCAAAGTTGAACAGGAGCCAGCAATGTGCCCTTGCAGCAAATGACTGCCTGTGTCCTGGGCTGCATTAGGACTGTTGCCAGCAGGTTGAGGGAGGTGATCCTTCCACTCTATTCAGCATGGGTGAGGCCACACCTGCAGTACTGGGTCCATTTCTAGGCTCCCCCATACAGAGGGGAGACATGAACATACTGGAGAAAATCCAGTGAAGGGCTACTAAGATGATTAAGTGACTGGAGCATCTCTCCTGTGAGGAAAGGCTGATTAAGATGCAAAGGAGAGAGAACCAGGCTCTTTTCAGTGGTGCCCAGTGACAAGACCAGAGGCAGTGGGCACAAACTGAAACACAGGACATTCCCTCTGAACATCAGGAAACACTTTTTTTTACTGTGAGGGTGACTGAGCACTGGCATGAGTTGCCCAAAAGGTTATGGAGCCTCTCTTCTTGGAGATATTCAAAACCTATCTGGACATTTTCCTGGACAACCAGCTCTAAGTCATCCTGCTTGAGCAGGAGAGTTGGACCAAATGACCTCCAGAGGTCCCTTCCAAGCAAAACTACTCTGTGATTCTGAAGCACACGATGACTGTTACAAGCAGCTTAATGGCCAACATTGCAAAGAAAAGGACAGAAGCCAGACAAATGCTTTGTTATCAGTGCTCTGCTCTTATTAAAGAGTATTTACAGCACAACTTCTAGGGAGTAAAATGAAACATGATTTATAGATGATAGAGGCAGTGATGGCTCCAACATTGTGCCTAGTTAATATGGGTGTGGATGACAAGATTAAAATATTTACATTTCATTTTGCAGTAGTAGCATAACAGAATGCATGTAAACTACCAGAAGAATCTGAAGCGGTGTACCCAAAGAGGAAAATCATCACTACTTACTGTCAACTACACTAACAAGTTTATTGTATGGGACACATTATATTCAAATTCTTGTTGTGTGTGAGAAGGAAATATTATATGCAAAATCATGAATTTATTGTCTGCATATTTGAAATTATCTAAAATTGTTGCTACTCCACAACTTAGCGCAAACACCTGATTAGTATAGCACATAGTAGCCCAGAAATCCTGGCCTTGAGAACTCTATGTTTGGGGTCGATACAGCAATCTCTAGGAAGCTCAGGGTTACCAGACTGCCTGAAAAGAAAGAAAATTCCAAGATCCTCCTCTTCCTAACAAAGAGTAAGATATCCCCGTGATCAGTAACATACTCCACTCAAAATTCTGAGACACTGACAAGTTGCCATAACCGCATCCCTCCCTCAGGCTGAAGCCAATAACTTAATGACTCAGAGACAGCAAAAGAGCGAGCATAACATCAGAGAGAAAACTGCACGTGCCAGAAAGCGTGCTCATAGCAATTTAAACAGTATTACTGAGACTATTTGTAAAAGTATTTTCTTATGTAAAATATACTTGGACAAATAATAATTCTCTTATGAGACTTAAGATTACAGTGACACTAGGACTCAGTTCTGTGCTTCACACGCAAGTGCTTCTTTTCAGCCCTTACACGAATTTAAGTGCAACATTTTAGCGAAAAAGGTGTGTAGCTTTTCTGTGAGCCCCATGACATTTTTGTGGGTAGCCATTCAGTGCAAATCTTTTGCAGGTGACAGCCCACCATAATCACAGAAGACCAGGAACAAAGTTATCGTGTTCCTATGGTCCTGGTAAGTGTATTCCTTAAAGCACAAGAATAAATTCTTGACTTCCCATATGAGGTGTGTCTCTCTTCATGCGTAACAAGATTTTTGAGTGCAATAGATGGCTTAATTTCAACTTAAAGGATGATACAAGTGTTAAATTACCTGACAAAAGCTAATGTTCTCATAAGGGCGTGCTTGTGCAAGCAGTTCAGCTTTGGATTCTCTCTTTTCACCATGAACTATCAACAATGGCTTCTTCCTTAAATAAAAGGAGATTACCATTAAACATCAAGTGAATTACTAATCAGTCTAAACCACTCCTTCATGTAGCTACAACTTCTGGCCCCTAAACCTGGTAGCTCAGCAAGAAGATGGCACTAAAATCTATATGCCTTAAGTAATTCAAAAAAAGCAGTAACAACAATAGAACCTCTAAGAGAAAGTGATTAGAAAACTTTAATAGGAGGAAAAAAAGGAAAACAGGAAGCATGGAGTAAATCAGACACCAAAATAGAAACTAATAATACAAGATCTTGTAAGGAACTCTTGTCTGTATAGCTAGAAACAGATAGACAAAAGCTCTCAAAAGTATTGATATACACAGTGTGGATCTAAGACAATTTCATCATTGTTATCTTACAGAGAAGATGGGAAGAATAAGAGGGGAAAGGAGAGGGCTAGGTCTCTGGAAGTAGTTTTATGTTCACTTCCTAATACTCTGTTCTACTACATTTCCAGTAAAATGGAAAAAAAAGGAAAACCATACATCATACACTCACTTCATGTGCAGTAGGTTGCAATTATCAGAATGAAAATTTCAAGCAAACATAAGAACTGCTTTCATAACAATATCCAGCAACTCCATATCATATCCATAACATATCATCCTGATCATTGTTGCATATCCTGTGCCCTTCCCATGCTCCCTCCTTTCTCTTGCCTCAGTATACTGTATGGCAAAAACTTCTTGTTCTATCTTTATAGATCATCTACTATACTGTCATCAAGACCCACAATGGGACCTCCTAAGTGTTAATAAAAATCAGAAACCAGCCATACTGAGCTGACCACTTAAAAGTCTTGAAAAAGAGGCAAGAAATCAATAGAGAACTGTAACTGTGGAGGAGTAAGTGTACAGGGAAAGCCAAGAGTCTACACATACACAATTGGTAACAATGATTTGCAACTGCAAACAAGTGTTTATCATTCAGTTATAACAGCGACTTGCATGAACAGAATTATTTGGAAACTGTATCATTTCACCTTCATAAAGTAAACATACCTGAATTCCTGCGGGTACTGTCTTACAAGCCATCCCACATCTATACAGTAGTTAAACTGTACATAAGAAAGAAAACAGACTAATTAAAAAGTAGAGTTTGTCTGAACAATGAACTACAGCAAAAAAGCTTTCTATTTAAAGTCACTGCTCAATACCATTTACATCGTACACAGCACGTTTTAAGAACAGGTGTATTTTTGAATTTCACATGCTTTCTTCCATGTCTCTTAATTTAGGAATGAGTTTAAGTTACTCAAAAGCATGTATTAGTGTTCATAGAATTTAACGTGGAAAAGTGAATCACAAAAGCTTTGGTTTGAGAACCATTTCCTTGCCATGTGCTTATATCATGAACGTTAGCAAAAGCTTCTATGCTATAACAAAAATATCATTCCTAGATTGCAAGGCTTTTTTCTTTTTAAAAAATAATTTGCATGCACATAAACACACTTTTTTTCAGCTGCACATTCCCTGAAGACAGGAGAGAGAAAGCAGTCTTACAGTTGTCTGAATTCTAAGCAGAACATGGAATGATTTCTGTATTTCAACAAATTGTTGTACAGTTAAACATTTAGAGTTTCCCCTGTATTTTAATAGAGTTCCCTGCTAATATCAGCTACATAGCACAAACATGAATTATCAAGTTTAAGGTTAATAAAGTGAAATAAGCAAGTGAAAACAATTTGTCAAACAGAAAACTCACCTGGGCAGAAGATATGAGAGTCCCAAAAAGAGGAGACAAAATATCTATTAAAAACATTAAAGCATAATTGAGTGAAAAAGGATTCAAGTAAACATTTCACATCTTGAACAGTTTGTTAACTACCACAACACAAGTGTCAGATTGTTCACAGACTTGGTGTAACAGAGACATTCACCATTAAGCTTACTGTTTTGAATATTCAAGTCACTGATTCCCCTGTGAAACCCTTATGGTGTCACAATTATGAAAAGCATTAATTCTCTCAAAGTAGAAAACCAGTTTTAAAAACTCTTTAGGAGAAAGACCAAGATCATATGGAGAAACAGACATCAAATTATTCTCTCCCCTATACAGTGGGCTTGAAGAACTGTGGCAGAGTAGAAGTAACAAAGGCATAGTTAACACTTAAAGACTTATCTGTGGTAGACTGATCGCAGGATACGTGAATGAATCCTTAGTTTATTCATGGTAACACAGAAAACTAATTCAACTGAGGATTTATAACCTCAATAACTGAGGCACAGCAGCAACTTGAAAACATATCCTACAAATACCTTTGATGACAGAAAATATTTCAGGCCCTGTCTCAACAGAAGTCTGGTTTTGCAGGTTAAGCACACAAAATAAACTCAGTCCCTCCACGAGCTCAACTAATCACCTAGCAGTACAACTAGTCTTAAGAGAGGACTGGCCAAAAGCCACAACGAAGTCAAAAAACAGACAGACATACAGCAGCAAAGCAGAAGAGGTCTCTGACACCAGGCTGCAATCAGTAATCAATGCTCAAAGGGGGTACATGAGCTTGAGGAAAAGTTACAACCTAACTGTATAGGTCTTCAGTCATTTGTTCTCCTTCAAAGAGTGACAAGATTTTTCTGCCTCATTTTATTGTATTTCTGTACACAGATCTCTTATTAATGCTTGCTTCTGGTTCTGTCTTGTGATGTATGAGACTTCACTTCTGAATGAGGCAATGTTTACAGGTGCACAGAACTGTTCCCACTTACATCAAATTACAACTACACAGCATTCCTGAAGCATCAGTATTGTACACCAAAGACTTTGCTCCATCTTGACTCATGCTCACTTTTAAATGAATTGAAATGGGCCCATGAATCCCAGCCACAGAACTTCAGAAGTACTATCTCATACTGCATCAAGTAATAATGAATTACTAGGTCCAAACCACTCAGCAGTATGAAGACGAGTGCAAACAACTACTCAGGGAGCATGGCTAGGCACCCAAGTAACTCTTGAAGGGCCACAAAGGCAAGAGTGGTTTTCCCCAGGTTAACTCACACAGAAAGCAGCAGTAAGAAGCACCATGAGTTACCTTGGCTAAATGCACGTTACATTTGTGCAGTGTAACTCAGAAGTTACAACAGAATCAGCAGCAGCAAATTAGCGCTTTATACACTGTATTTTTAAAAGAGAAAGGCAAAGATAACAGAACCAGTTCCTACAACTTGCACATTTAGAATATGAAGCCTTGGTTACATCAGGAACATTTGCATTTAAAAATACCCACAAATCAAAACCAAGCATTTTCTTGCAAGCAAGCCTCCCAAAAGCCCACTTCTGTAGAAGCCACTTGTTCACCTTTTATGTGCATGGCTCCAGAATTATAACTCTGTTCAATTCCTCTGACTTTAGTGAGAAAAAACCTGAAAGGGTTTCCTCCACTCAACAAATCCCAGGTATCTTGGGCTTCACTGGATGCTTCACAATACTCCTCTGCTTTCTGATTCTCTGAGAGTTCATCATCTTTGCAAAGATTCAGAGGATGTTCTTTGGGTGCATCATCTTTTTCTTCTTTCAGTGTTTCTTTGTGGGCATGCTTTTCCTGATCTTCAGGCTCTTCATCGCTACTAGAAAGACACCAGCCTAAGCCTTCTTGGCTAGTTCTCTGTTTTTCTGCTGGAGGTGTATCTGTAGAAAATTTTTTATCACCGAGCTTCAGGGGAGAAGCTTTTCTCTTGTGAGCAGCTTTCCTAGCTTCAGAGCACGGATATTGTGGCCCATTTGTTCTGCCACGTGCAGCATCCAATACTGAAGATGTAGATGGTTTTTCACTATCAGAATTTTCCTCTGTACTTTCGTCACTGCTAGATACTGTCCATTTTCCGTGTGCACCTTCCTGAAGCATGTTCCTAGGGATTAAAAAACAAAACACAAAAAGCCCTGTGCGTTTTTGCTATGCTTAAGTCTGTTTTCCTTCGTAGTTTCTATTTGCTTATTACTAGTGAGCTTTGCTTTTTGTATTTAGCAGAATCTCCATGCAACTTCTGACGCGCGAAAATTTCATAGCGCACAAGGCACCCAGGAAACAAAGAAACACGTGGAATGGGAGCAGCCATCAAGCTTGAAGCAGCTAATGTGGAAACGTGCACATGGAAGACCGGCTGGAATAGGGACACGTACAGGAAAACATTTCAAAAGCCAAAAAAGAGTAACTTGCATCAGACAGGTATTTCTCACGCCGACCTTAACGCTTAGGGGTCTGGCGCGCTCTACTGAGGAGACACAGGAGCAGGGAGGCGAGTCGGGGCCGCTCCTTCCGGCTGCCCCTACGGGAC